CCCCAAAACCCCAAAACCCCAAAACCCCGCATAGCTGAAATTTAAATGATTAGGTAAGTAGAAATATATAGGTCTTAAATCATAATCTTTCAATGTATTCTTGAAGATTCTTGTAGGATATATAGCCGAAAAGATTTTTAAACAATCTCGCGAAGTGGAAGTAAAATTCGTTTAATTCATTTTAAATTGCAGCTAACTTTTCCTCTGGTTCTTTTCTTAGATTTACTTTTTAGATCATCTTCTTTTGGTCATGGCTTAGAAGTTTATCTGCAAGTAAGTTGCTTAAATAGTCTACAAGTTTTCTCTCATCTATCCAAGTATCGTCCATTCTATAGACTCCATGAGCATCGAAACCTAAAATAAATCATTAATGTGAGTAAATTTACCTAGAGTCTGATTGAACTTTTATGTTCGTCTATTTCTGAAGAATACACTAAGCTTTTGATAATATGCAAAGAAGTTGTTTGCCCTAGGAACGTGGTGGATAATAATATTGGTTTCAATTATAGATGGACTGCAGAAGAAACAGATGTCCCACACATCTCCATCAATGAATGATGGTGACTCAAGAGTCCTTACTCTGTACTGATTACCGCCTTAATGATCTCTGTATACAATAGTGAATTACAGGTTATAATCCTAGAGAGCATTTTTATAGTTTCTATCTAGCATAGCTGGGTCAAATGCTAGCAACTCTGGCTGATCTTCAATTTTAGCTACAAATCTGACGGAAGGATTGTGATCTCCTTGCTTTTTATCTGGAGATTCCTCATTTACATTGTAGCTTGTCATTTGAGAGACGTCTATCTCTACGAATTGTAAGTTTTATGAGATAGTGTGAGTGTCTAGAGAATGATCATTAGTGGTCAAAGCTTTTAGTTTCACATTTGTCAGTTTACCATTGTATGTGAGGATAGCGAAGGCCTTGGCTGAATCAACTGGCTGTTCTTTAATCATTGGAATCGTAATGATCTTATCTTCATTTCTCAATAAGAAACCATTAGTGAAGTTAATAGTTTTGTGAATTGACACAAATCCTGATTTTTTAGCTACCACATGTTAAATACCAATTTATCTCACTCCGAAGCTATATGCTCCATTTTCATCTGATAAGCCTTCTTCTGGTTACTAATTGCTTTCCTTCCAAAATTCAAATACTACATTCTTCAGTGGCTTGCCAGTATTGACATTGATAGCTTGAACTAATAAGTGAGGAATCTTATAGTTAATCGGAGTTAGAACAAATGAGAGTTCTCTTTCTTGGATATGAACATATTTGTTGAATTCTTTATATCCTCTCGCCTTAACATTTATCAAATAATGACCAGTTTTAATTGTAGTAACCCAAAGTTATTTTTAGGAGTCCCAAAGAATATCAAATTCATACTCTTCTTCCTCCATATCATCAATTTCTGGATGGTCATTGCTTGAAATTATTTTTGGAAGTAAAATAGCTTTAGCCTCTACTATTTCAGGTTTAAGTTTTTCATGAGTTTTATTTCCTTAGTTTTCATTATAGAAGGTGAATTCAGTATCAGTGTCAATTCTTGGTTTAACTCCCACAAATATGGTGATCTCATCCTTATCCTCCTCATTCACCACATTCACTACTTTTGATGAAGACATGTAGAAGTCATTTCCTTTTACATCGATACTGTAGTATCCAACTGGAATATGCTACAATACAATTTTACCAGCATCATCAGCTTTTCTATCAATTTCCTTGACCTTATAGTTTTATTCGTTTTGGAATCTTTATTCAGTTTCTTTGACTTTATCATTATCATCTCCAAAGTAGCCAAGACCTCTTCCAGTCTTTTTAACTGAGTGTTAATTAGACTTCTTTCTAGTTTGAGCAGACATTGGTCGAGATGACTTTGATAATTTTGAGAGATTAGTAAAAGCTGAAATAGGTCTCTTAGAATGAGATAAAGTTTACTATTACTAGAAGTGCTGAATAGTCTTAGCGTTGTTATATGGTGATTATTAGATAGAAAGACCTGGCTGGTGAATATTATCAAAGGATCTCTGAGATATCTGGTAGGTTGAAGCACTTATTGGCCTTACATTTGGAAGAGTTGTATAAGATTGGAAATTCTTTTGATAAAATTAGTTCTAAGTCTTAAACAAGCTGACTTGATTTAGAGACTCAGATACTCCAATGTAAGTTTTTGCGCTAGATGGTCTAGCTGTTTTATTAGTTCCAAGTAGTCTCTTATGTCTCGCCATCATTTGAATTGTTAGTTTTTCTTGTTCACTTTGCTATAAATATTGAGAGAGTTAGTGCTGAGAAGCAGTAGAGTTATATGAAGATTGAATTTTGACTTGAAAATCTTTGAAGTCACCTGCATCATTATCATCATTATCAGAATAAGGAAGATGAGCGTGATTATCTCTGAACAACTGGATAGTGACTTTGGGAACTCTAGGTAAGAAGAAGTGTATTTTTTCTAGAATCAATGCTACACTTGGCCACATGCCAGACTTCAATTTTGAATGAAGGATTTTCTCAGTTAATCTACCTTCATTTCTTGTCAATAATTGAACTTCTAAAGCTCCAATTCTAGTTGGTTTAAGTTGTTAGTCAATCAGGGTTGGCTTGTCTGAATCTTTTTGATAGTCTACTCTTAAATGCTTGATTTTTTCATCTTGATCTGTTGTAATTGGTTTTACGATGACTAGAACTTGAGGAAATTATTCTCTAACTGATGCTTGCATGTGATTAGCAAATGCTCTATACTTGTTCTCATCATGTTTAGTGGATGTGTTGTGTGACTGGCAGTTAATACTAAAGATGTATAAAATATTAGTGTAACTTACCAATGTTCAATTGAAATCATGACTTAGCCGTCTTTAATTTGGTTGAATTCTTCGAATCTTATGAATTTAAACTTATCTACTTCCTTCTTTTCAACATCTATTTTCTCAAGCACCTTGCAATTGTTAAACTTGTAGCTAAGACCGACTCCTTAAGAATATCTGTATTTACTGCGAAGAATTAATAAGTCTAGTTAAATTACAAATCTGGAGCCTTCATAGCAATATTGAAAGGTTTTTTATGCACATCAGGGTCATAATGGTTGTAGAGGAATCTTCCCCACTCCTCTGGGTAGTGTCTCCTGAGGTCTGGTTTCTTCTTGCCATAGTCAGTCTTCGCTAGGATACTTGTGTGCTGGGCATCATGGCCTCCTCCGTATGCATTCATTTTATATATGAATTTATTTTATTCTCCTTATAATTATTCTAATTATCTGTTTCTGGGGTTTTGGGGTTTTGGGGAGATCGGAAGAGCGTCGT